TGTTGCAAGATCAAAAAATGGCTATTAAAAACACAAAAGCCTGCGCAAGAGCCTGTTCACAAGGCGGTGCACGCTCCGAAACGGACTGCAACGAGACAAGAAAAGTAGCCTATACTTTGGGCTTCGTGTGTCCTCCTTAACTATCAAATATACATACAAATGTCAAAATGACCAGCTCTGAGATTCGCTTAAACACAGTTTATTCACTTAAACAGAATTATGTCTTAAATGGACATAAATAATAGGGAGAAATTGATGGTGCTTCAGTTACCGGTTACCGATTAGATCTGCACTCGGTCTTAAAGGGGCAGCAGTCTAATAGCCTAAACCTGCTGACGATTCAGCCATTAATACAAATCAAACAACAAAAGGCAGAGAAAATCACTCACAGCTTTTGAATAAGTAACTTTAGATTTAATAAGCATTAATCTATCTATGACTATACTATACAGTGCTATTTTATATTTGATTACTAAATTAGGTTTCTTTTCAAACAGAAACAATTACCTGAAAAGATATGTTAGTACACCTTCCTGAAATTAAAGCACTTTTGTATATAATTTGTATCTTTGATTGATTTTATTCTTGTGTTTGTACTTGTTTTTTTCTTATGTGTTCTTTTTGTATATAAAACAAAAAAGCCTGCACATTGCTGCATAACAAAAATATATTTTTCTTCGTTTTGCTTTTTCTATTTTACATTTCAAAATATAGAGTTTAATTATGTTCTTAATTCTAAAAAAAAAAAAAAAAAAAAAAAAAAAAAAGAACCGATAAGAATACCGTTAAAGTACCGGATCGATAAGCGGTATCGGTAAGAGTAGTAATACCGATAAAACCTTAACGATACCCATCCCTAGTCATCACTAAACCCCAGTCTGTTTCCCCGATCGCCCCTGTCTCCGCAAGACACCAGGCTTTTTCTTCACCTTGTGTGTCTTCGTCCAAGCTTGCCCGGATTCCTCGTCCCAAGTCTGTCACCTGTTCCCCTCATTCCTATTTAATCCCCTTGTGTTTGCGGTCCTGTGTCGGTCCATTGTGTATCATACCTTGTCATACTTTGTGTGAAACAAACCGTGAGTAATCTGTTGAAAGTCTCTTCTAGAAAGAAGTGTTTGATCCTGTCTTAGTTGTTAGTTTACAGTCTGAGTATTAGTCTAGAATTGTCTATCCTGCCTTGTTTTGCCCCATTGTGGGTTTTGTTTTCTGTTTCGTTTTCAAATCCTGTGTGAGTTATTTGCTGCCTGCGATTGGGTTTGTCCTTCACCCACATAACAGTATCACTTGTAATGTACTTCTAGCAATCATTAAGGTCAGATGCTAATACAAATTCATCAACATACTATTTTTCATAACACTCATTCACATAAGTTATTATGCTGAACTATGATGGGCTGTCAGGGGTCATTTTTTGCGGATAAGTTAACATCAATGCAAAAATGTCAAATAGGTAGTTTTGATCAAACATTTTGATCAAATGATTGAGTTATGGTGTTCTTGTTGCTCCCTCATTAGTCTATCTATCTTTAAGGAAGAGGTCTTCAACGTTTTTCAGGACAAGGAGCCCAGAGACATCGAGCAGAGACCCTGATACAAAATGTGTCAAAGGGCTAAACCAACCAGGAATTTAGCGAGAGGAATTTCACCTCAGATTAATTCAAATTCATAAATTTGAACATGAGATTAGAGCAAGGATCATAAACTGCGTGATTTGGAAGTGACCTCAGTCTTCATTGCGTGTCTACATGTGATTCACTCTTCAATTATCTCTGAAAGTCTTCACAAAGCTAAGCTAAGTTCCTTTTTAATGCTCATTGCTAAAAGCTGCCTGTTGCTGATGCTATCTGTGTGGTTTGGGCTTATCTAACTTAGTAGTTTTCATTAAAATGCTCTTGCTAGGCTTATACGATCATGTTGGGCTATGTATGTTAGGGGAGAGCCGGGACAGTTGAAACACTTTTTAGATAAACGTCGTTTTCAAAGATAAGTTTACAGATAGATTGCAACAACTCGCATATATGTTCTCTTATATGATGTGTTATAGAATGATTTAAGTAAAATTTGATTTTGATCGGTAGTTGTGCTTTGTTTCCATCGTCTTCTTTTCAATGAACGATATATGTATTCTTTATATAACTGCTTGCATACATCATTCTTTATTCTTTCAAGTAGACATATTTATTTGTATGAATTAAATATAATTAATCCTTATTAAAGCTATTAACAAACAGTGAATGCTTTTCTCTTTTTCTTTTGTCACTTGAATATATAATATTAGGTTTTTTACCCACTGTCACTTTAAGACATCGGATCATGTCCAATGACATGCGGATCCAATTGCACTGATGCACATCTGATACACTCACAACTGTTTAATTAAGACATAACCGACATAGTTTACATGAATACTCTCCAAAACGGACATTTAGACATAATGTTGTGTGTATTTGTCCATTCAGACACGAAAGAGAACACCATTCAGTGTTCGCACGCTGTATAGGTGTCTATGTGCATGGCTGGGCGTCCTTTTCTGCATCATCAATCTTATTCAGATCCATATGCATAACTTACTCTACGACTCTTTCTCCCAGACGTTGACATTTTTTAACGTTTTATGAGACCGCTGGGTAGATCAGCACGTTACAGTACAAATGTGCGCATCTACCACACATGCAGGACATCAGTTCTGATTGGATCGCTTCCCAAATCGTCCCTATATAACATTTTCATCTAGTTTTTATTCGTTGACGAAAATGTCAATAGATTTTCGCCATAGTTTTTGTCATTCAAAACTAGGTTTTATTTAGTTATCGTCTCGTTTTCGTCTGTGAAAAAATGTTGTTGACGTTGACAAATAATTTTCATCATCATTTTCGTCCAATGTGTTCCCATACACTGGACCGCAATGGTGGCTTGATAATTTCTCGCTCGTCGGCTTCTCCTTGTCATCCGCCATGTTATGTTTTGTTGTCTTTGCGCTGCTGCTGGTGTGTGGCGATAACGTCACAGATAGGCAGGCTGAATCGATTAAAGTTTAACGTCTTTATCATTAAAACTAAAGTTCTAAGCAAAAACATCCATATAAAGTCTGATGTGCTTAAATTCAATGCGTTATTTACTAGCATCGATACAAGTAAAGTCAAATATATTTATACAGCGCTTTTTACAATAAAGATCATTCAATCAAAACAGCTTAACAGCGTTTGTTTATTACTGGAAAAAAGACATCCAAGTTTGGAAGAGCAGATCTATGGTATAATGGGTCATTTAATTTGAATATCCCCAACTGAGCAAGCCAAAGGCAACAGAGGCAAGGAACCGAAAAACTCCATCAAGTGACCCGATGGTGTCCTAAAACTCCATCAGATGACCCAATGGAGAAAAATGGGCTCAGTCGGGGGCCGTTCTCCTCTGGCGTTTATGAACTAGAGGCCAAATTTACAGTAACTGTAAGATAAAAAATTTATATGAATGCCTGGCTAAATACATGCATCTTTAGTCTAGTTTTAAACTGGGAGAGCGAGTCTGAGCAACGAACAAAATCAGAAAGGCTATTCCAGAGCTTCGGAGCTAAATGTGAAAATGCTCTCCCTCCTTTGGTGGATAAGGATATCCTAGGAATGACCAGAAGTCTTGAATTTAGTGATCTTAAAGAGCGCGATGGATTATGGGGCGATAGAAGATCCGTTAAATAGAATGGAGCTAAACCATTTAGAGCTTTAAAAGTCAAAAGCAATACCTTGTAATTAATACAGAACTTTATAGGTAACCAATGAAGTGATGATAGAATCGGTTTTATATAGGCCCTTGAAAAAATAAATACTGTAAATGCAAGACACCAAGGTTCTTGAATATTATTAATGATTAACACTGAATTTGCATATCATTATATTCTGATAATTGTACATAAAAACGTTAAATCTCTGTGTAGAGGGCATTTACAAAAATCCCACACTTTTTTGGGATTCTCTTATAATTAATTAAGATTTTTTCCTGATGTACATTAAACTCACCTGTATGGAGGCCCTAAGGGGATATGGTGACAAAAATATGAATAGGAAGGAAAAAAAATAAAATAACTTTTTATCTTTTACATAAAAGATAACTTGTTTGTTTTCACTAATGGGTAAGTTAAATGCAACCTCGACATTTAACATCAGCTTAGAGGAGCTACAACCATGTCTTTGTGCAATTATAGGCCTGTGTGAGTGACTTCACAAATTCTCTTCTTCTTGATGGCATACACCACAAGCATATACAGGTTTTCTTTCTTTCTTTTTTTTTTTTTTTACAGAGTAAAAAGGTTCTACATTACAGGAATAAACCAGCAAGTTGGAAGTTGTAATAGTGTGGAAATAATGAAATGATGTTCAAGAACATCAGAAAGAGAAATGGAGAGAAACATCTGAAGTGAGTGTCTTTGGATCTGACCGCAGTAGGAAAGGTTGAATCTGTGAAATGAAACTCAGAGGCTCTGCAGAGTGTGCAAATGTTTTATGCGTGTCAGTGCATAACTTAATAAGAACACACATCTGAGCGGCAGGCTCATAGGATCATATGAATTCAGAATAAATGGCATGATTAAGAGTGGATAAGTGCTGAGATCTGCTGTGTGTGTTTGAGGTAAAAAAAATATTGCAATTATCACGTCCCTCTCTAGTGTGTTTCCTACAGACACGTCAATCCTAACCACAGGTACAACTGATTTTAATAATTGATTGTACAAACCGGTAGCACTTTACAATAAGCTTCCATTTGGTAACATTAGCTAATAACTACATTAGTTAACATGAACTCACAATGAGAAATACTTCTAAAGAATGTATTAATCTCAGTTAATGTTGATTTGGTAACACTTTTATCTAAAAGTTTAAAACATTAATAGACTATATAGAAATAGTGAGTTCTTCATTCATTGTTTCTGAAAATAATGCTTTGTTAACAATTTATTAGCAGTAAATAATCCTCACTTCAGATTAGATCAGTGAAAATGACATTACAAGTGCTTTAAACTAACCTTTATTAGACATTAATTGCATTCATATTCAGTGTTTCTTAAAATGTTTACAAATACATAAAGCACACGCAGACACAGACATTGACTTTCCATGTTTTATAGGGACTTAAATATGGAATTTATGGAAACATTTCCATATTTCAATAGGGACTGAAATATGGACTGAAAGATGGAATTTATTCTTTCCCCTAAACCGACTCCTAATCCTGACACTGTTCGTTACAGTGACAACGAATGAAGAACTTTGTATATGTGCATAAACTATTAATTAACTATTTACAAATGATTTGTAAATACTTTATTACACTATACTTATTATAAAGTGATACCGTTCATTTAAACATTTACTAATACATTATTAAAATCAAGTTTGTATCTGTTAATATTTAATGGACCAGCTAGCATGAACTAACAATGAACAGTTGTATTTTTTATTATTTTTTTTTTTAAAACAAATGTTAAGATAACTAACACTTAAGATCGGGGTCCAATTCTCACTATTAACAATGACTTTTGACTTAATTACTAATTATGAATTTTAGTTGTTAGGTAGTTGTTAAGTTTAGGTATTGGATATGTAGAATGTGGTCATGCAGAATAAGACATTAATATGTGCTTTTATAATCCTAGCAATATCATGCTAATAAGCAATAGAGCAATTGAGAATTAAACCCCTAAACTAAAGCGTTACCAGAAATACTTAAGCAAATGTATTGCTTAATGTGTTAATGGGGCATTATTGTAAAGGGTCACCTGCAAATCTATAAAACAGAAAATATGACTTACAGTATAAATACACTTGAGCCTTATTGACAGAAAAGGTTGGGAAACACGGCTCTAAAGTGCATGACATTTTATCCTGAGATACAAAAGAAAAAAATCAATGCATATGGTCTTTCAATAAGTACAACTGACAACTAGAAAATAAATTGACAATAAAGCTGAAATTTCTCTCCGTTGTTCCTCTAATAAACCCAAAATCACAAAAAATATTGCTATATTAGTATATTGCTACAGTACACAATGCAATTTTACATATATAATCGTAGAATGACAAAAATATAATGTTTGTGGAAGTAAGTCATCAGTAAAAATATGGAGTATTTAATGTTACGCAGTGCAAATTAAGCAGAAATTTCATTATAAATTCTTTGGATAAAAATATTGTATAAAAACGACCCCTGAGCTTTCCTGAAGGTTTTCTCTCTATATTTGGTAGGATGTTTTAAACTAAATAATCTTGATAGCCTACATGATGTAAAATAAAAATGTAATAAAGTGCCTGTAACTGCTGATTTCTGCTGATTGATATTTGATTTATGTTGCTGATATTTGTATTTCATCACTCAGATCCACAACGTTCTCAAACACCCCGTCCTCTTCATCACGCTGCTGCCGCGCAAAATTCACAAAAACCTGAGAGAAACAGAGAGAAACGTATCAACTGAGGTCGAAAAAAATGAACGGCTTCTGTCATGATCTCAGTGTCCTTATCATAAACTAAAACAAACTATTTATACATTAATACAACATTTCTGTAAATTGAAATAAAAAATAATAATGAAATATAAATATTAGTGGAATCAATTCTGTGAAGTGAAAGTCACTGAGAAATTTGTTTTGGTTTTTTATTTTATTTTATTGCACAACCTCAATTTAGCAGCAATGCCCTGGTGAGAGAAAAAGTTAGTAACCCATCAAGAGTCAGCTTTAACTGGGTCTTGCCATCGTGCTCACAGTTGCCAGCAATATTGGCATGTGATTGATTTCTCACAAGACGTCGGATGGCGGTAAAAGACCTGCTGCATATGAACACCAGATGAAATGGACTCGGATAGATCAGGAAGTGTTAGGGATCAGAATCAGAGTTATAAATATTGTGCTAATTTTGAGTATAACGTTAACGGATAGTCTGGACTTCCAGGGTCTAAAGTGTCTTTTCTGGATATATTAGCTGTTATTACAAGAAAAAAACTGTATAAGCAGAAACTGCAGATAATATCTAAGATAAATTAAAGCATTTTACACTGACAGGACGGCCAAATGATGAGTAACTGACTGGAGTCGATGAGTGTTTAATGTAAAGTCTGTGGTGAGTTGAAGAGAAGCTGGAGGCCCGGGAAAAGAGATGTCAACTGTGTCAGTCAAATACATGCATGCTTAGTACTTTCCCGTAAAAAAGAAGACATAAATAGGGCAGTAAAGCACAAAAGAGAACTTGATTCGGTGCTGAACGATGTCAGACTGGCTGCAGATTTAGGCTTATTGTACTTGATCAGTCAAATACATGCATTATTATGTAAAAATGTCTATCTTGTCAGTTATATCTTGAGTGAACAAACAGTTTTGGTTGAAAAAAAAGAAAAAAAAAAAAGAATAACTTTTAGAATGTGTGTCAGTATTGAATCTACTCATTACTGGAGGTCTTAAAGTGAAAATGATGATAATAATAATAATAATATATATCATTAATGTTAATCAACACAAACAGAAAAAAAAAACGGTACTTGAAGCACTGGTTGTATACCTATTGTCATTTGATTCTTTATTCGTATTTTATGTATTTTATTACTGACTGCTTACTTGATTACTTAAGAACTTTTGAATTATATTAGGTTGATAGTTAGATTTATTACATCGTTAGATAGACTAGCCTAGCTAGCTATATCTAATAGCCTAAACATTATTCTTTTTTTTTTCAGATTTATGAAGACTGGATAAGGCTGTGCTCCACACTCAATATCCCCCTTTCCAAGTCTGAAAAAATTTGGATTAGACAAAAATAAACACAATTTATGCATTTTGTTTGTCCTTTGTGTCATGTATGACTATTGTGCATCTAACATAATACATAATATGTTAAATATGGCATTTTGTGAAAAAGAAGTGCGCTTAATTGTAAAGAATGTACAGTTGTAATGTGGTTGGAACAGCATGGGGGTGAGTAATTAATGACTTAATTTTCATTTTTGGGTGAACTAACCCTTTAATGTTTAAATCAGAGATCTGATCCTCATATGTCAGGTGTGTGTGTGTGTTACCTGGTCCAGTGTGGTCTGTGAAACAGAGTAATCCTCCACCCGCAGCATCTGCTGGTGTTTGGTGAGCTGGCTGAAGATGTGCGCCAGGGTTCCCTCTCCCTGCGGTATCTGGTACTGCAGTGTGTTGTGATGTTTCTCTTTCAAAGTGCTGCCAGGAAACGTGTCCCGCACAAATGACTCCACCACGCATATGTCGGTCTGATCGGCACACGCACGAACGATCAGTGTGTAACCTTCCCCGAACCTAAAACACACGAGCATGGAGTCAAAGCATTAACTTTATTCACAACATGGAATCAAATAACATGGTATCTATCAAAAATCATTTCATGCAGGTTTAACTAAAGTTCCTGGGATGTGCCTGCGCAAGGTCTGATAAAGCAGGACTATTTTTTTTTAACTTTTACTTTCTGTATGGATGTACAGAAAGTAAAAGTTAAACAAACATAGACATCTCACAATGCAGACTTTTTTTTCTTCAAAGCATTGTGAGGTTTTTTGTACACATAACTCTGAATTCACTTCTTATTTTAAGTCTATGTATACAATTTTTTTGGTAATATTTGTGGTAATAACAATTTGGTAGTTTTTCCTCAGAACCGCGAGTTTATATCTCACAATTATGACTTTCATTTTTGGAATTCTAAGTTAACGTCTCGCAATTCCGACTATTATCATCTGAATTCTGAGTTGGCATCTCACACTTCTGATTTTTATTCTCGAAATTCTAGGTTACCATCTTTGCAATTATGACGTTTTTCCTCAGAACTGCGAGTTGATCCTGTAATAGATTAAACTAGGCTTCCTTTAAAAGAAAAATCAGTCAGAATTGAAAGATATCATCAGAAATGCAAGCTGATGCATATTGTGAAAAATAAATAATTGTAATAAACTAACAATTTTGCTAAAAAAAGCCTAATTACGAGATGTAATCTCAAAATGACTAGAAATAAAAAGAAATAAAAAGAATTGTGAGATAAGAAGTTTCAAGAAATAGTCGCAATTACTTTTTTTTTTTAATTTTGTAGTCTAAAATGACTTCCATTTATGGCTTTAGAAAACATATTATTAAATTATTCTTAAATGATACTGTATGTAGACAGTATCATATGAGAATAATTTGCTGATAATTTACTCACCCCCACGTCATCCAAGATATCCATGTCATTCTTTCTTCAGTCGAAAAGAAATTAAGGTTTTTGATGAAAACATTCCAGGATTTTTCTCCATATAATGCACTTTTCTGGGCACCAAACGGTTCAAGGTCCAAAAGCCAGTTTCAGTGCAAACTGTAAACAGTTCAAAGGGCTTTAAACAATTCCAGACGTCGAATAAGGGTCTTATCAAGCGAAACGATCGCTCATTTAAAAAAACAAAAAAACAAAGTTTAAGTTTTATAAGCTGAAATGATCGCCTTGCTCTGTTCGTGACTCTCCTGTTCGTACTCGTTCATCAAAATGAACCCATCTTGGTAACACTTTATAATAACTACACGCTAATAATAATTAGTTAAGTATCAGTAAACCATTAATTCATCATTCATAAAGCATTAATAGACATTAATAAGCAGTTTATAAATACAGCTATAAATGCTTTCTTCTTGATTTAAAAGCATATCTATAATTTGTGAAATAATTGTATTTTCATCCTTTATTAATGATCAATTTATCATTTCTAAATGAAGAATTGCATTTTTTTTATGAACCAGTTATTTGAGAGTTGTCAATGGTTCTTAAGATTAAATGATTAATAAACTATTTAAATGTACATTCATACAGCTTATCATTCAGACATATAGTGATGGTTACCTAGTGTGTTAATGAATGCTTTATTAACATGTATTAATGCTGTAATTCAGGGTTAATTTGGGTAGTTATAAAGCATTTAGTAGTGGTCAGTTAACTATGTTCGTGAGCTCATCTAAAGTGAGGACTAGTCATGCCTTGTAAAGCATTTTTAAAGGCTGTTAAATATTTCTATGTTCTGTATCACTGCGTTGTGTTTGTTACATTTTACTGTTTAGAAGATTGACGAGTCTTTAAATCGCCTTTATAAATGCTTTACAAAGCATGAATAGTCCTCACTTTAGATTAGCTCACAAAAATAGTTAACTAACCACTACTAAATGCTTTATAACCACCTATATTTACTACATTTACTTACACTTTCTAAGTGATCTTATGAATGACTGACAACTCTTAAACAACTGGTTTGTAAATAATGCTATACTTCATTTAGAAATTATTAATTGATCATCAAGAAAGTATAAAAATACAATCATTAAACGCATTATAGATATGCTTATAATCAAGAAAAAACATTTATAGCTATATTTATAAACTGCTTTTTAATTTCTATTAATGTTTTATAAATGATTAATTAACTGTTTACTCATGCTTAACTAATGATTAATAGCGTGCAGTTATTATAAAGTTTTACCCAAATCTTTTTTGTGTCATTTAGTTCATTCAACAAACGAAATGAACGAATTGAGTCGGGAAAAGATTTGTAATTTTCATGAATTAGTTTGAACAGGAGAGTCACACAGAACAAAGCAAGGCGACCATTTGAGCTTATAAAACTTAAACTTTGTTTTTTTTTTTTTTTTTTTTAAATGAATGATCGGTTCGCTTGATAAGACATGTCTGGAATTTTTTAAAGCCCTATGAACAGTTTGCAGTTTGCACTGAAACTGTCTTTTGGACCTTGAACCGCTCGGTTACCAGTAAAATGCATTATATGGAGAAAAATCCTGGAATGTTTTCATCAAAACCTTAATTCGACTGAAGAAAGAATGACATGGACATCTTGGATGACATGGGGGTGAGTAAATTATCAGCAAAAGTTTTTTTTTTTTAAAGTGAACTAATCCTTTAAAACATGGCAACTTTTTTTCAACATCCCTCCTGTTCCATTGCATAAAAGAAATAGTCATATGGGTTTGCAGTGTCACACATGCTCCTCTAGCGCATCAGAGAGAAACAGGGTCTACATTTTAATCCTTCAAAACAGTGAATCTGTGAAAAGTAGAAGCAGATTTATAGTCTGTGTTGAGTGTGCAGCAGTAGATTGTTGCAAAATGTCAGTGGCCTTATAAAACCTTCCTCCACTCTTAACATCACTGACGTACATTAAAGCACTCTGTTCTTTAATAAGAACGATGAAAGCACTAGACACAAACATCTAAGATCAATACACACACACAGACAGACGGTGTGAATTGTATGAAAAACTCACTCACTAAACACGGTGACTCTAGTAATGGAGCGATTTGATTGGTGACTGACAGGCTTACAGGTGCTTTTATTGGACAGTTGTTTAATTGTGTTTGTTTTGGAGTGTGTTTACTCTAGGGTTTGTGTTTATGAACACACTCAGCATTAATATGATTTTATCGGAGTAACCACTCGCTCTCAAAATAATAAAATAAAAGCACACTATGATAATGGCTGGTCTGTGTCTGTGTTTGTGCTACACGGGAGTGTTTCAGCTTTATGTGAAGAGAAGTTTTTGGCCATTTTTAGTGAGATTCCTTAATGCTCATTTGGCGGATTACGGGAAGTGAACATCATATATTGTTCCAAAAGAATAAATGTAGCCATCAGTCATTGTGCACATCAGTACAACATCATGTAGGGATTGGGAAAGACTGTTTTAGGACAAATACATATTGTATATTACACCAATTTATTTTAATAATAAACAAACAGTCATTTGTCATTAAATATACCACTTTGAGAATGACAGTCTGTATTACTAAAATTATAATCGAATTAATGTAATATATAGTCATTCTTCAATTATGGGCTCTTGATATAAAATATATGAAATCTTGAAATTAAATTTCTTAAAACTATGTTTAAAATATTTACCAGTATTGATGAATAAAGATATATTTCATTATTGTCTCTCTCTTGATCAACATTCAAGTGAAATATGATTAAATGTTCGAGGGTATTTTTTATATGTGTATTGGTAACAAAATTACCTTTTTTTTAAATCAAAATATCAAAATCAGCTCTCAAAATCTAATATTTAAACTATAATGACACTACCGTTCAAAATTCTGGATTACAGTAAGATTTGAAAGAAAATTAATATTCTTATTTAAGCAAAGACACATTCAATTGATAAAAAGTGCCAGTAAAGACAATTATAATGTTACAAAAGACATTTATAATGTCCAGTTTCAAATTCTTTTCCTCAACAAAATCATGATTTCCACAGAAATATGAAGCCGCACTGTTTTCAACATTCATAATAAAGGAATAATAGACGTCTCAGACGCTTTGTCCACATTTTTTAAAGTCTATGGTTACTCACTGTAACCACTGATTAGTTATGTGACAACGCATTCTCACCCCAAGGCGTCACCTTTGACCATGCTTCAATATTTGACGTTTTAGGCGCCCTTTAGCGTCACTTACATGACGCGATCCTACGGCGTCATCTAACTGACGCTAAAGGAAAGCGTCAGTTAGAGGACGCGGTTAGGTTTAGGTGTGGGGGTAGGGTACACGCGATCCTAGGGCGTCATCTTACTGACGCTAAAGGGCGCCTAAAGCGTCAGATATTGAAGCATATCCAAATGCTTCCCAAGGCGTCAGTTAAGTGACGCCTTGGGGGTGAGAATGGGCTGTATGTGATGTTGATTAGTTTGATCTGTATACCCAGTGTTTTGTTCAGTTCTTGGTCTGTTCTCGTCTTATTGTGTTTGCTTGCTCTGTTGGTTCAAGACTGTGATTACAGAGTATTTTGTTTTGAATAATAAAGAGACGACTGCAGTGATTCAATCATGCATTTTTATTTCATTTTGCTGCAACCAGACGTGACGGCAATGATATTTCACAATATACTGTTACTATTGAGCTCACAAATGGAGCCTTGACAATTTGGAGAAGCCAAATTTTGAACTTTACAGTTTATGTGTAGTATAATAAGATTTTGACTTGCTAACAAAACAAGTTTATATTATTTTAAATAAAATGAAACAGAATATGTCATCTCATCTTCAAACTGTCCCCTGTATTAGTTTTTTTAATTTTATTTTTTTTAAACGAGGGTGGGAAGAGCAAGACGAGTATAACTCATCCACTTACAGCACCTACAGCACACTCACTATAAAGAGGAATCAACATTAAAATGTCAGCGGAGACAAAGACAAAGTTGCCCTCACTTTGCTGTATCAATCATGTGAAGAGTGGAGACAATAAAGAGCTTAGATCAGCACTCAAACAGCAGCAC